ACAGATTGAAAGCAGGAGATATTTTCTACTCTGTGTCCAAAAGAAAAGGAAGCACGAGAACTGTATTTACTCAATTATCAGAAATGATAAGAGACTTCACATTGAACAGAAGGAAGGGGGAAATGATACATAACTCTGGGAAAATTGAAAAAGATGGCAGCAACAATGCCATGTTATTTAGAGCAAACTACTACTGAATCAACAGTTGAAAGCAGGAGATATTTTCTACTCTGTGTCCAAAAGAAAAGGAAGCACGAGAACTGTATTTACTCAATTATCAGAAATGATAAGAGACTTCACATTGAACAGAAGGAAGGGGGAAATGATACATAACTCTGGGAAAATTGAAAAAGATGGCAGCAACAATGCCATGTTATTTAGAGCAAACTACTACTGAATCAACAGTGGATAAGAGTTAATTAAACAAAAGGGTTTAACCCCCCAACATAACGCTAAATCCTGTCTTAGATGCTGACAGAAGATTCTCTTTTCACATGGACAATTTTGTATAGTTTGTCATGTCAGTAAAATATAATATTGAACTAAAAGGAAGTGAGAGAGGTGGGGAGGGTGTTGGAAGAACAGACCATTGGGGCCCAGTACAGGTTTTTACTGTGAACCGCCTGAGCCAGCAGCACCACCTGTAGCAGTGAGCATCCCCCATTCTTTCCCTGGAACGGTGACTTTAGCAACTCCTATAACCCATTAGGCTGAGCCGAGCACCTTCACTGACCCTGACTGCTGTGGTTCCTGTGTCCTCAGCGGTGGCCCTGGCACCATGCTCCAACCTGGTGTGTAGAGTCACAGTGCCACTCACATTTGGCCTGCCCAACCTCAAATGATGGAAGATCAGGTCTGCCAAACCTGAGGGTCATTGTGACTCTGCACATCAAGTTGCAATGCATGGGGTGCCAGGCCCTGCCTCGCAGGATACAGGAGCCATCTCTGTGGAGTGAGTCATGGACACAGAAAAAAGTCAGGGATAGATCTCAGAGAGGTAGCCGTGATAGTCTGTATCTGCAAAAACAATGAGGAGGCCTGTGGCATCTTAGATTAATCTGTTAGTCCGCGAACCCCTGCCTGCTGGACCGAGGCACTCAGCCAGGCCACGCCCCACAGCTGTAAATGAGCCCCATCCACTGGGGTTCACCATAAGGTGTACAGCTACATGCTCACAAAAAATTCTCCTCTTTCCCACATCCCACCAGCAGCACAGTGAGTGGGTAGGTGAGTAGCCACGTGTGCTGCTGCTGGAGCAGGGGCCATGGTGAGGCTGTCCCTAAATGGCACAGCCTCACCGTGGTCCTGGTTTTAGTTACAGCAGAATGCTACGTGGCCCAGCTGGCAGGACTGTGTGGAGGGCGGCTGCTCCAGCGACTGGAGCTGAAGCCAGCACCACTTGGAGGGGGGCTGGGGCTGGGGCTGGGGCCGGGGCCAGCTCTGTGTGGAGGGTGTCTGCAGCAGAGCAGCTCACAGGTGCCCCCAGGCCATAAGCCTCCATTTTCAAAGCCCTTCTGAGCTAACTGTACCCTTGTCTCCTAGGCCCAATCCTGCACCACTGAAATCACCAACAAAGCTCATTAACTTCATTGGTGCAAGAACAAGACCATAGATTGGTGAGTGCACTCCCCCAAAGTTGGTGGAAAGGGCACTTAACAAGCATTCAAGACAGCTGGATGCAATTGCTGACTCTGCCACTGACTTTGCCTTCCCGTAGGGCAAGTCACTTCACCTTTCTGAGCTTTGGTTGTCTTTTCTAGTGGTAATCTGCACAGGGCACAGGCTATCTCCTGGTCTATATGCGTGCACTGCATAGCACACAATGGGGCCCTGATCTTCCTTCTTCCATATTTCCTAAGTACTGTTGATGAAAGAACCTTCTCTTTTGCACCCCCTGCCAAGTGGAACAACCTTCTTGTATCTCATTGATGCTCCATCTTTCATTTGTTTAACTGGGGATCTATTTCTCCTTTGCTTATCGCTCTGAAATAATATCTCCCTTTTCCCCTATCCCTGTCCCCTCTTCCTCTGTCCCTGTCCTATTAACATTGTAATGATTCACTATTTAATTCCACCAGGAGTTCGGGAATAGAGTTTATATGAGAAATCCTAACATAAAATACTGAGTTGTACTGGGTATCACTAGAATATGATTTTTAACAGTGGTGGAAATAAAATACTTTGAATAGCTACTGATGTGTTATGTATGATTTTTAAGGTGAAAAACAAATACTTTTGGGAGGGATAATTTAAAAAAATCTGTAACAATGACATGTATTGTGTGTGTACAGATGCAATGTCAAATAACACATGAGTGCTTGCAATTAATTACAGCCGGTCCCCGAGTTGCAAACGGTCGACATAGGACCATTTGCAGTTACGACCAAAGCTGTCATAAATGGCGGACCCCAAGTTATGAACGTGATCCGCGCTTATGAACAGCACGGTCGTGTGTAACTCTATGGGGTCCGACTTACGAACGAACAGAGTTACAAACAATTGCTTGGTCTGTAACCGGTTCATAAGTCGGGAAGAGGCTGTACCATAATGAAATGCAAATGTTTCTGTGCCGGTCCTCCAAAAGCTTTTGAATGAGTTTGCCGGTCCGCGGTACAGAAAAGGTTGGGAACCACTGTTTTCATGGATACATGTTATCTGTGACTTTTCATGTAATGACAAACCTTGAGCCTTAGTAATGATACAGATTTGCACACCTTTCAGGGCCTTCTAAGGTACTTTGCCCTATGCACCTGCACTGGCTAATTCTCTGCCATGGAATGGAGGTTCTGTGGCCTTTGTCTATCCTGGACTTTTCTCAGAACTCTCACCGTTACACAAATAACAGGCTCCTCTCCTCCCCCAGTGGTGAGGAATGGTGGCAGTACTGCTATGCACTAGCCACCAATGGTTTGGGAACATTATTTAGATGGACTGATCATTAATTAGATGGTACAGTGGTAATAATGCCCACCCATATTAGATTCACACAATCAGTGCCATTTATGGAGCTGCTATTGTAAAAAGTACTGTAATCTAAGTTGTCCAAAGTAACAAAAGTCCAACTCAGATGGTTACATAGAGTTGTTCATGAATGTCAGCAAAACTAATGGGCAAACAGACTAATAAAAGATTCTAGAAAGAGGAGAAAATGTTTATAGTTGAAAGCACTGAAACATGTTTTGACTGGTTAATTTTAATGAGCTGGGTTGCTGCTGCTACCTGGACGTTGGGTCACTGTGCGGAGAGGGGGAGTTTTAAGCACAGGAAGGGAGGGCAGTAGCTGGGAGCAGCAGGGTAAGTGGTCCGGACACAGCAAGCTTTAACGTCTTGACTGACATGTCACCCCCTCTGTCTCGGCCATGGAATTTGCCTCGACATCCTTAGTCTTCATGCTCCAGATCCCAAATGTCTATCCAAGAAAAGTCTGGCCTATC